ATAGAACATTGTAAGCATATTTCGATTAATCTGCTACTTCCTACCCCACCGATAATGCAAAAGCACCGGGTACAATTCGGATAAGCGGGGGGGGGGAAAGTTTTAGGCGGGGGGGGGGGAAACCAACTTTTTTTTGTCGGCCCTGGTGGGGATAGTAATCAAATATAAAGTGTTTTCACCTAGTTTTTAGCAAAATTTAAGCCTATTTGAAACGGAAAAACTTTTTAAAAAGTTAGAAAAACGCTTGAAAAAGTCGAAAATTTGGTCATTTTTGGGCCGAAAATTAAATTTTTGGATTAAGTTTTGTAAAGTTTTTATGTGTAGGAATAGCTATAAACAATTTAGAAGCACTTCCACTATTTATATACAAATATAGGCTTGGGCGGAAAAAAGTTTGGTTTCCCCCCCGCCTAAAATTTCCCCCCCCGCTTATCCGAATTGTACCAAGCACCGACTTTTCTTGCAGCTTGGAAGACATGGAGCGCAGGCAGGCGTACAACCCTTACTGGTCGAGGTATGAAAAGGTAATAATTTGCATTCCGCTTTCCGATTCATGGGCTTTCAGGCCGTTTGGCATAGCAGCAACTTTTGTATGGCATTTTAGGGATGAAATCTAGTTTTTTCATAGCAATTATAAGTCTGGCTTTTCTTTAATTGGTTTAATTGGTCTTTGATGGGTTTCTCATTATATAATTTATCTCTATATTTATAATATCAAATTTTTATTTATATATATAACTTTGACCATTTAGGAGGCGATGAAGCAGTGGCGTGAGTATGGCTGTAAGAGGAGCGTCGACATATCGCTGTACCCCATCTGCCTCAGGAATAAGCCGTGCAATCGATACAAGGTATATCTTCTGATATCAATATCAAGATTTTTCATAGTTTGAAAACTAGAAAGCTATAAAAAGTTTTGAAAATTCGATATTTTTACCTTTTTCGTCTTTTTTCATACACTTTTGGTTGAAAAAAAGTCGAAATTTTGCTATGATTTTTTCAATTGTTTGTATATCTAAAAACTAGTTAAAATGCGACAAAAATGGTCTATATTTTGTTATGGTACGGTCGTAGAGAACCAGCGGGAAAAATTTGCTTCCCCCGCTAACAGTCCAGCACCGAACTGTTTGCAGGATGTGCCGTGCTTGGACGCGACGCGCGTGCAGGTGACGGACGCGAAAAACGAGGACTGCTACATCCACGCGAACTGGGTGTGCATCGAGGGCCAAACGCAGAAATACATCGTCACCCAGTGCCCGCTCGAGTCCACCAGCCACGACTTTTGGGCCATGATCGTGCAGGAGGACGTGCAGGTGAGCGCCGTTTTTTTTTAATTGAACGGTTGCTAGCAGGCCAAAACCAACATTTCCTTCTTCCGCGGCTCTTTCGCATTATCGGGGGGAGGACCAACGTTTTTCTAGGGTTCCACTTTTTCTGTATAGATCGCGGAAGTGTTTCTGAAAGGTTTTTACTAGTCATAAACATAAAAGCTAGACAAACTTTCGTCCAAATATAGAAAAGAAATCGTTTTTCCGACTAAAAAATAGCCAATTTTCGACCAAAATTTCAATCTAAGAGCTTTTCCCCAATTTTTGAACTTTTTCCGGCCTGAAGTGAATCGCGAATCTCGAATTCTCGAAAAACAAAGAAAAAGAAAGATCGAAAAAATCTCGAATTTTGAGAATCTCGAAATATGCCTATGCTGGATTCAGGACATATGCGTGCAATTTCCGGAGCCTTTAATGCTGATTGAAACCATGGAGTTTTCGAGATTCTAAAACTTCGAGATTTTAAAACTTCGTGATTCTGAAAATTCGAGACTCTGATTTTAGAGATTTTGACAGATTCCCGAAAAACTGTGTAAGATGCTATAAAAATTGTCTATAATTTGTGTGTAGGATGGTACGGAATTATTGGTGGGAAAATGGGTACAAGTAGGATAAGCGGGGGGAATTTTAGGCGGGGGAAACCGAACTTTTTTCCGCTCAAGCCTATTTTTTTATATAAATAATGGAAGTGTTTCTAAATTGTTTATAGCTATTCCTAAACATAAAAACTTTCCAAAACTTAATTAAAAAATTTAATTTTAGGTCTAAAAATCACTTTTTTCGACCCAAAAATGACCAAATTTTCGACTTTTTCAAGCGTTTTTCTAACTTCTTAAAAAAATTTTTCGGATTCAAATAGGCTTAAATTTTGCTAAAAACAATGTGAAAACACTTTATACAGGGTGTCCCAAAAAAAAAGACCCCCCCCCCCAAAATTTGAGCCAGAGGGCACCTACGGAGCTGAAAATTTGCACAGAGGTAGCGAAGCCAATTTTCTATGAACAAGGAAAGTTTCAGCCTGATCGGCTTGCGGGTTTTAAAGTTATAGCGAAAATACTTTTCATTTTTAATTTAATATGGGGATCTATGCGATTTGCATCAAAAATATGCGTTATTCTTGCATTTACGAGCCGATTTTGCAGAAATTCCGCTGAAAAATGCCATTTTCTTGATGGCGATTGCGTATGAAGAATAAAAAGAGTGTTAAAACAACTGTTTTATCGATCCAAATCACGGGTTATTGTCCGTTTTGGCAATTTGAGCTTCGTCGGCCCGAAAACAGAGATCGACGAGCTCGAAAACAGTGTTGAAGTTTAGATTTGGGCTTATGTTGGCGCGTACGCCGAAGTCTAAGCCAAGCTCAAGCGTTCAACGATAATTTCCGCCATGAGGTCTGGTACTCATCGTTCTTGCCGATCATTTTCTCGCTACACGAGGAATCGTTTTCCAAAAGCTCCATCAAAAAAATGGCCTTTTTCAGCGGAATTTATGCAAAATCGGCTCGTAAATGCAAGAATAACGCATATTTTTGATGCAAATTGCATAGATCCCCATATTAAATTAAAAATGAAAAGCATTTTCGCTATAACTTTAAAACCCGCAAGCCGATCAGGCTGAAACTTTCCTTGTTCATAGAAAATTGGCTTCGCTACCTCTGTGCAAATTTTCAGCTCCGTAGGTGCCCTCTGGCTCAAATTTTTGGGGGTCTTTTTTTGGGACACCCCGTATTTGATTACTATCCCCACCAGGGCCGACCAGGAAAAAGTTGGTTCCCCCCGCCTAAAATCCCCCCCGCTTATCCGACTTGTACCGGAAAATGGGTGCTTTTCAGTGTATCCTGACGACGGGTGCAATAAACGCGCGTGGATGGATAGATAGAGGGACGTTCCTCTACCTGCCAGAAGAGCCGGGCCAGGTGCGCACTTTCGGCTCGTACACCATCTACACCGAGGACATGCAACCGGTATGCAAATCGCGTTCTTTCGCCTTATCGGGGGGCTCGGACTTTTAGCAGGGCCATTTCTGTTTTTCCACCTATTAAATTATTTTCCTATTGATGATAAATAATGTATTTTTATGGTGTTTTTTAGTAGTTTTTGATTGCTAGAAAGTTATAAAAATATTTTAAAAAATTCAAAAATTCAAAACTTTTGACGTTTTTAGGTGATTTTTATTCATTTTTGACCAAAAAGTCGAAAATTTCCGAAATTTTTATGATTTTTTTCGTATTGTTTTTGTATCTAAAAACTACGTAAGTAGACTATATGACTTTATATGAAACTATATGACTCGATGACAAAACTATATGACTTTTCTATTTTATTTTATTAAACTAGAAAAATATCGATCTTCGATCCAAATTTCCGTTTTTATCAAATTTTGAATTTTTTGGCGTTTTTTTAATCGGTTTTAGGTGATTTTTCTAGTTTCCGGGTAAATTTGCGGTTCCTGTTCCAGCTCCAGTTCGCGTGCAAAACCGAGCTGCAGGCGATCGCCCGGAAGTTGTGGGTCAACAAGGAGGACGACCCCGAGCGCCGCGAGGTCACCCACATTGAGGTACGCGGCTTTGCAATTGATGTTCAAAAAAGGTTCTTTTGCATTATCGGGGGGGAGGTGGACGCAATTTGTTCCTCTAAATCCAGAATTGCTAAGTAACCTAATAGTAAGTATTTTAATGGGGGGGGGGCGGGGTTTTAGCAAAATTTAACCATATTGCAACTAGAAGCACTATCAAAAAAACTTAGAAAAAAAGTTTTGGTTGAAAGTTTGCGCGAAAAATTGAGATTTATATGTTTTTTAATGTGTTTTTCCATAAATCTAGTTGTATTTTAAGCGGAAAAACATCTTTACAAACTTGGGAAAATTTTCTAGTTGAAATTTGGGTCGAAAATCGATATTTTTGGCATATTATTGATGAAAATTTGTAGCGTTTTTACGTGTAGGATTAGCAAAAATAGGATCTACCAAATTCGACCCTTAGCAAAGCTTGCCCCCCCCCGGATAATGCAAAAGCACCTAAAAGGCTTATTTATTAAGCTTGCGAACTGGCGAAACCGTAGCGTGCTGCCGCTGGACGGGGCCCTCTTCGAGCTGCTGAAACATGTGAAGGACGTGCCGTGGGTTTTGGCTCAAAATTTCGGTTCTTGGCTGTTAGCGGGGGGGGGGCAAATTTTCCGCATTTTGACTACAAGACGCTCCAAACGCCGTGTTTTTTTAACTTTGAGCCTACGGAAAAACTAAGCCAAGCCTAAGCCCAGGCTTAGCTTCAGACAAACGAAGCCTGAGCTTAGCGTGAGCTTAGCTTGAGCCAAGCTGAGCCGACCTCTAGGCTAAGCCTCCCTATTTTGACCTCTTGGAGCAACTTAAAGCTAAAGATGAGCCGAGCTTGGGCTTGGACTTAAGCCTAAGCCTAAGTTAAGTCTAGTTAAAGCTAATTTAAGCCTAAGCTTGAGCTAAAAACCAAGTAGCTTGTGCGGAGCGCCTCGTAACCTCTTGCTACCAAATTTAACCCCTGCCCCCCGCTAACAGTCAAGAATTGAAAATATCCCCGAAAAAAGCACCAGTTGCTATGCGAAAAATTCGGCATTTAAAAATGTCCGCATTATTTGCGACATTTTGAAAGTAACCCCGACTTTTTTTTGCAGCACCCTCGTCATCCAGGGCGCGTCGGGCATGGGGCGCGCGGGCGTGCTGCTGATGCTGCGGCTGGGGATGAACTGCATCGACGCCGGCAAGCCCTACGAGCCCGAGATGCTCAACTGGCTCAAATTTGTGCGCTCCCAACGCGCGAACAGCGTCCAGGTATTCAAAAATCGGTTCTAGCGCATTATCAGGGGGGGGGCTTTTTTTAGGGATTCAATTTTTCTGATAAAAATAGCGCTGCTTGGCTAAGTTATATAGGTGCTTCTAAGCTAAAAACGTTTCGATTTTTATCAAAGATTTCGACCAAAATTAAATTTTTTTTTGTGATTTTTTCACTTGAAAGCTGTTAATTTTACTAAAAACCCTATCAAACTACTTATCTTTGATTTGCTATCTAATTTTAGAAGATTATCATTTCGAAAATTTAAATTTTTCTCGCGTAAATATAGTTTTAGATTGCTAAAAACGCTACGAAAAAGCTATTTTGGTTCTTTCTCATTATCGGGGGAAGAGTTTTGTAAAGGTCTAGAAATGTCTACTAACTTAATGGCAAGTGTTTAAATAGTGTTTTTAGTACAAAATAACTATATTTCAACTAGAAACACTATCCAAAAAGGTTCGAAAAAGTCGAAAATTTTGTCGAAATCGCCCATATTTGGTCGAAAAATCGAGATTTTGGCGTTTTTTAATCAAATTTTTTATAGTTGTCACGTTTAGGAATTGTAAAAATCCCCCGATAATGGGAAAGAACCAAATCACGACATACGTTTTTTAGCTGCATGAACAATGGTTGATGTGCCACTTCTACCTCGCCTACTACCGTCTCCTCGTCACGGGACCCCTCGTCACCGAGCCCCAGAAGCTCGAAGATACCCAGAATCGGTCAGCTTGAAAGGCGTACTATGATTTTTCCCCCGCATGAATGCCGAGATTCGGTGCCTTTGCATTATCGGGGGATAAACTTTTTTAAAACATGGATGCTAAGCGCCAGTTTTGCTAAACTTTTCTGTTCCTAAACGTAAAAACTGTCAAAAAAATGATTGAAAGCACAAAAAAAATGCATTTTTCGGTTCTTTGGCATTATCGGGGGGGGGGCAATATTTTTTCTTAAGATCGAATTTTTGAAATATATCCAGCGGACTTTTTCTAAGCGCTTAATTTTTGGTATTCAAAATTTACAAATTTTTATTAAATAATCACAAAAACCGCGATTTTGTGACCAAAATGTCGTTTTTTTGGGAAATTTATGGCGGTTTTTGATAGTGTTTCTGGCTGAAATATAGTTTTATTTAGCTAAAAAATTATGAAAATACCTGCTATTACGTTACTAGGAATTTCTAGGCTTATACAAAAATTCCTCCCCCCCCCCCGATAATGCAAAAGAACCGATTTTTTAATTAAACACATTTTTAAAATCCCCGGTTTAAGTAGCTCCCCTCCCCCCGATAATGCAACAAGACCCCGGCTAAATTTTATACCCAAAACCCGTTTTTTTTTTTCAGGATAGTGAAGTACTACAGAACGCACTGCATGCAAAGATGGTGGTAATATTAATCAGCCGCCGCCGCCGACATCAAATACTTATCGATCGAAGAATTCTTCCGGAAAACTTACTGTATTTCAGCTTCTCCTTTTGCTTATAGTGTTTAATGCCCCCGTGTCTCCTCGATTGCTGATGATTAATAAAGATTTTTGTGATTTCCTAGTGTGTTTTTGACGTTTTGACGTTCTGGGTAAATAAATATGCAATCCGGGAAAGAAAGTTCTTTCTAGGAGAAAAATCTTTAAAAGTTTCCGACTTTTTATATTTATATTTATTGCGGTTTTGTTTCTTTTATAAAAACATTTTTTTGGATAGGCGTCTGAGACATAGTTTGTAGTTTCTCTTTTCTAGTCTTTCGGGTTGCAGGCCGTAGTTTGTAATTTGTAGTCGGATCAAAGCTTTTCCTTTCCCTTTGCCCGTTCTAAAACGATCGGTTTCGCAGTTTGTAGTTTGTGGGCTGTAGCTTGCTTCTATTCTTAAATCAGCTGTTTATAAAAAGCTTTGTAAAATGCTCTGTAGTTTTCAAATATTGTAGTTTGTAGCCGTTTAAAAAAGTTTCTTTTAATTTCTGTCTTCGTTCCGTCTATAGCTTGTAGTCTGTGCGTTTTCACCACGCGGTTTGTTGTTTGTAGGCCCATTAAATAAGTTCTTAGCATTTTGTGTTTCCAAACGTGTAGTTTTCGTGGTTTGTAGTTGGTAAAATCGACAGGCTTTAGTTTGTGGCTGTTCAATGACGTTTCTGAGAACAGAATGCGTAGTTTTCGGAGCTGTAGCTTGACGCCTGTACTTTGTAGTGTTTGCAAGACGTATTTTTGTAGTTTGTAGCCGATTCAATAACTTACTTTTCTAGTATTTAGCGCGCCCGAATTTGTAGTTTTCCATCTGTGCTTTCACGTTTCTAGTCTGTAGCATAAAAACGTAGTTTGTAGTTTGTTTTGCCTTTTAAGTTAGCGTATTTTTCCAGATATCCTTGCCGGTCCCTTTAGAAGCCTAGACACCCGCTACTCTTGCCATTAGCCTGGCAGCGGACCGGAAAGGAAAAGCGGGGTTCTCGCGGGGGGTTCATCTGCTCCGAACTTATTGCCCCGCGTAATCGGTTGTTGCTGCTATGCTGGGGGCATCGTTTAGCATCTTTCCCCCAGCTTTTTGTAGCTAGGATCGGGTCGGAAAGAGAGAGAAAGCAGGGGTGGAAACACTGGAGAATTGGAAATTAATGTCTGTAGCGTTTATAAATATAACAAAACCCTTGAATTTCATCGCGTAATCGGATAAACTTAGCGTGATATCGACCGAGACGCATCAATAGCGGGTATTTTAAACGTGTAAACTTTGTAAATTGCAGAAATCACTTGAGTTGCATGGCGTAATCGGATAACCTAGCGTGTTATACGAACTGATAGGATGTGTTTAATAAGTGTAGCATTATAAATATCGTAAATCACGTTATTTTCATGTCCTAATCGAATAGGCTTTGGTTTGTGCGCATTAATAGGTTGTTTTTAAGCTTGCCATAGTTTTAAATACCGAAAACAGGCGTATTTTCATGTCGTAATCGGACAAAGTTTAGTGTGATACGCATTACAAGCGTGTATTCTAAACGCGTAATCGTTGTAATTAGCGTAAATCGTCTTATTTTCATGGCGTAATCGGATAAAATTAGGATTTAGCGCATTCGTATAAAGCCGTTTTTTTATATTGCACGTATTTTTATCTGACTTTTTGATGTCGTAATCAGATAAAATTTATCGTTTTGCAGGCTCTTCTCACGAGCACAAGCAAAGGTCTCTGCTAGCCTGCGGTAGAACTTGGATCCTCTGAGCTCGAGGAACCTCGTAAGGTATAGCTGATTTTTGCGGGTTTTGATAATATTCTGTTAGTAGGTAAAAGAAGAGCCCGCCCGGCCCGTCGTGCTCCCCAATGGTCTCTGCTAGCTTGCCCCGGGCGAGAAATACGATTCGCCAAGGAATAGAGGGCTCGGAAGCGAATCGGTACGGTAATTTGGGGCTGATTTTCGCCAGTTTTTGGGTTTTACTAATGCTAGGCGCGCGTTTTCGGTCCTCACGGTCACTGAGTTTCACTTCAGCTCCCCTTTAAAGGCCCCTTGAAGGTTATCAAGAATTTGTCGGGATTTTTGCGTAAGGGGATTGCCGACTGTCGATATTTTGCCTCAAATTTTTCATGTAAGGATCTTTGGCTGTCGGGATTTCGGACTGTCGGTATTTTGCCTCAAATTTCCATGTCAAGATTTTTTGGCTCCGAATTTTGGCCCACGATATTTTTTGTCGGGATTTTTTACTTACGAATTTTGGTTTTTCGGGATTTTTCGTTAAGTTATCTTGGCTGTCGGTATTTTTGGTTGCCGGGATCTTTGCCTGTCGGTATTTTGCCTTTCCACCTCGAGATTTTGGCTTACGATATTATAGTTGTCAGGATTTAGGGCTGTCGGTATTTTCCTGTCGCTATTGTGGCCGGCTCTCTCCATTTTTCTAGCTTTCCTACTGGATTTTCCGCAAATGTACATCAACACGGCTTTTTCTGATCCCTCTAAAGGCCCCCTAAAGGCTATAATTTGTCCTCCTTCCCCTGCCTGTCATGTCCCTCGACTTTTCTCATAGTTTACGGCCTGCCGGGGGAGATCGAAATCCGGATCCCCTCCTCAGAATCCAATGGCATCGTCGTCACCTTCAAGAGGGGCAATGGGGCATACATTGCCCCAAGGGGGGATATCTTCCACAATCCCCACACCAACCAAATTGCTACTTTTTCGGCTGGCACATGGAAACTGAAACTGGTTTTTGGGACGAGTTTTGGGGAATTTCGGAGGGGTTGGAATGTTTTAAAGGAACCTGGAAGTGAGAGGTTGGTCTGGAAAAATTTGGTGGAATTCCTAAAGAATCCCTGCTAGCCTTACCCATTTCCTAAAAATCGCTGCTATCATCATTTCCTTGCAGAATCTATGCTAGCCTACTCTATTTTTCCAGAATTTCCTCTGCTAGCCTGTCTTTTGGTTGTCCTAAGGAATCGCGGCCAGCTTCCCCATTTCCTAAAGATTCTTTGCTAGCCTACCCTTTCCTGAAAAGTCTCTGCTACGCCCAGTTCCTCAAGGATCTATGCTAGCTTACCCTATTTTTTCCGGAAATTACT